AGAGAGAGAGAGAGAGAGAGAGAGAGAGAGAGAGAGAGAGAGAGAGAGAGAGAGAAACACGCCTTCACATAGGTTGATTCCCCAATGCATTTCGATGAATGCACCGTGTATACTAAGTTTCTCACTCAGTGTGCATCGCAAAACCAACTGATTGTTCACTTAGTCTAGCCTGAATGCTTCAATCCACAAATGTCGGATAAGTGCACGCAAAGCTGGAACAGGAAGACATTTAAATGATTAGATTATGTGCGAATGCCTTTCGTTCGCGAAAGAAACATAAAACAAGGCGACATAGTATAACCAAGCATAGGGAATAAAGAAAGAGCTAAGAGAACAACACTTGCATAGTATAGGCACTGCACACAGTTCACAATTCATTCTACACTCGTTCATAGATCACAGTGTGTCGTCGCAACGATAAATGCCTACGTTCCACTTTGTCGAACAGAAAATTCACCCACATTTCCATCACGACACTGATGAATGGCAATGTTCTCACATTGTCGCCGTAGTTGCGGTTTCTCACTCTCACTCTCTCTAGATATTGTGGCTTTTGCAAGTGATCTCCTCGAATGTCTATTTCTATATATCTTCCTATTTATTTATATATTTTCTCTCTCTTTCTCTAGCTCCAACCCTCTGTGGTGGTTGCATTTGTTTGCAATGTGCATTTCTCATCGTTATTAAGAGTTGTTTGATGTGATTTGCTCTGTATATACACAACTTTCCTGAATTTTTGCTGAGTTTCAATAAGATTTTCAAAACGCACAACATGCAATCAAACATTAATTTTCCTACTTTAAAATGAATTTTATAAACTCACGTTATCAGTAGATGATGCCATGACAAATAGCCATTTAATACGCACAATGGAAAGCGCAAAAAGTGTTGAAAAATCTATTGGATCTTGATTAAACCATTCATGAGAAAACAGTGTAAACACTGAAGCATTTTGATACCAAAATATGCCATTCCAAATAACATTTCAATATACAGAGAATGAATGTTCGACCGATGGTACGATTGTGAATACAATTTTCCTCATGTTTCTGAATGCATTTCACAAAATCACTGGAAAACAATTTTCGCATAAAAAATCTTGGTTTCTTTCGTTCGCTTTCAATTTTGCTCTTTCTCGGTTTGGTCACATCTTTTTATTTGTGCGTTTGGGTGGCTGAGTAAACTTTTCAAACATTTTATCACATTAAATTCACATTTGGAGAACGAAATATATTTATCAGTATGTTTCATCATTGCAATTTTTGGCAGAGCAAAATATATGTTCTCGGAATTGGGACAATTTATACCCGTTAAATCTCTGGGTTATTAAAAGTAATTTACTAGGATACGCTTCTTTTCAAAATCTCTCTCTCTCTCTTCCGCTCTTTCTCATGGTCTCTCAATAAATATGCTTGGAAATTAGTTTTCACCACTATCTGATAGCGAAATATGAAATGAAAGGGACATTTAATTTGCCGAATATATTTTTTCCACACTTCCTATGTGAAAAGTCTAGAGGAATTCAAGCGAGAGTGTTTTCGGTTTCAATTAAAAATAAGCTCAAATATTCATATAGCGATTCAAAAATGATAAGCAAAAATGCAGTTTTGGAATGAAGTTTTATTTTAT